AGTACAATAAATTCGCAAAAATATCACACTTTACTTATTATCTAAGCTCAATAATGAAGGCTCCTAGTTCCTTTTGAAATTTTAATTTGTAACAGAACAAAATTACTTATAGAAAATTATCAATCCGTTATGGTGACATGTATTTACAATTGACTGATCACTGGGTGGTGATCAATGTCATATGTGTTAGGTTCTTCTTAGTGCAGATCGAACCCTTATCAACCAAGTTGCAATGTGGCCACTAGTTCACGCAATATCGAATCACCTTAGGTGATTCGATATTGCGTGAACTATGTTGAGATAAGATGGTGGTTGGAGGTAGTCAACAGGAAACACTAGACCTAGGTTTCGTACTATTTGGCACTCGTCAGAAAAGTGTGCTCGTAATCTTGAGGGAACTGATGCTCTCTGACGGATCTGATCCCACGTCACCCAGCTTCACTGGGTGATGATCGATCAATTTTAAATACATCTCAGTCCTGCAAGTGGTCAGTCGTGGACCGGACATTAATTAATTAGGTGATGAATATATATGCTACCTTCGGTACTCAAATAAATTCTATCTACGTCGATCATTTCTCTGTTTTATTGGCCACGGCCTGTGTTTGAAGACTATAAGTGTTATAACAGCACTTTAGTTCTCTCTACACTAAGTGGGACTCTTGAGCTGGATTATGATTTGACAAAGCTTTCGAGTTTATATTCCACTTCACGCCGTCGGTACCAACCATACAGGACATTTGTTAACCGAGTTAACTACACTTGTGGTGGTTATCCCGTAAAGAGCTTTTAACTACTATTCATTGAGTTATCCCTTTTTCATTTAATGTAACATATTGTTGTGAGTGCTATTCGTTACCTATTTTTATTCATAGACAGTCATTTCGGTTTATAGTATTATATTTCTAAGTATATTATTATTAATTTTGTGTATTGATACGTCTTGAATAAGTTCTTTTACTGGGTCCATTACACCACAAAACAAGTATATCAAGTAATAATTTCGTAGATAGCAAATAGTTATGTCAGATGACCTTAGTTTTTTGCCGAAATTGACTATATTAATTAAAATACTCCAACTGTTGAGCAAGTGAAAGTAATCTCTTCTAGAAGAAAGAATCATATGGTCAGGACTTTCATTCAGTGATTGTCTTTTTCAGTATTGTAAGTAGTTTGTCGACCTTTTTTTCTCAAAAATATCATTGCTAGTGTAAGAGTAAACTTGATTATGAACTTTCAATAGTACAGTTTTCTCAGATCACTGAAATTATAATGTTACTTTGTGAGATTGATTTGAACGTAAAGTTATGTAAAAAATCAAATGCAGAGTCGGATTATTTACGTAACATTGCAGACATGAAGACATAAATATATTCTTTTGTCATGACTAGTCCTGTTAACTCTAATTCGCCACCACTGTTATATCTTCGGAGGACCCTTCTATTATGTTTACCGTGTCGTCGCTGTTATATACATTTAGACTCTATTAAGTTCGCAGCCTTACTGATTGTACATTAAAAACGGAAACCACTACAATTCCTCGATTCTACTGCATATACTTTAAGACAGGAATCACTGCAATTCCCACGACGCAAAGTAAGAACACAAAAGACTGGTGCATTGAAAATTTATTTACTGCAAAAACGAGTCCCCAAATCATGTTGTTATTACACCAAAATACAATCACTTGCATACAAATTTTCATACATTATAAGAGCTATATATAGGACTATAGAAATAAACATCGAATGCAGTTCACCTGAATCGATAGAGCGGATATAATTGTCACAGTGAATGACGTTCATAACTGTGACCCTGGCCAAAATGTATAAAGAACTGACAAAAAATACTAACCTAAATAATTTCATCTTATCCCGTCATATCAAGTTCAAAAGAAGAATAACTTTACTAATTTAAGAATTTTTAAATTAATTCATAAAAAATTCACGAATTCACTTACTATTATAGTCAATTATTAGTTAAACAATGTCTTAAACATGTATTTATACTTGTATTGGGTGATTTTACAATTACTCACGTGACAGACATATGTACTTTCAATGACGATAAGCACCAGCAGTAAATGAAATCAATTCTAACATCAACCAATTGCCAAGCGATGGCTCATTGCCCAAGACATTCGACTTTGGTTTGAGTAACCGAGTAATATTACTATTAGCCTTCACACTTAGATTGTAACACGAAGACAAGACCACGAAATAATAACTGATAAATAGTTTACATAAACTTATTATCAATGTTGTTGGTCGATATTAACTTAAGCATTTTAATCCGTTTCCACGTAATTTCACTGTACTTAAACTTAAAATGACAGGTAAAAGGAATGTTAGTGAAATATGGAAAATAGAATTTGACAACTGTAGTGAAAATCTAAAAGTTTTTTCTCATTATAAACCTCTGGTAAACAATGCCATAGGAAAAGGAAATATAGGATAAAAAAGTGACATTCATGAATTCTAGTTGTGTTTCTCGTGAAAGCAAATGTATTTAGTCTTAGTAAATTGTCATATATATATATATATGCCAAGGTGTTTCTTCAGTTTTTCATGTGATGCAAGATGCCATTCGTTCTTGAAATTCGCTTGTAAAATAAGGCTACACTAGAATATCTTGATGAAGCTATTAATGGAGTCCTTTTTTGCTTTACACTTAATATAGATATTAGATAATAAAATCACTAAGAGACTATATCTCTAGAAGGTAATAGAGTATTTAAAGTTGCAAAATATTTGTTGTCAAGATTATGAGTGTTATCTTAAAAGAGTTATCCAATAATTTACTACACTCAAGGCTCACACATCGTTTTTGTTGTGTGATATGAGAAAATTGATTACAATTTTCGTTTAAACAAACATTTTTAAAAGCTAGGAAACAGTTGATTTCACACAAGTAAATCTATAGAATTTAATAGAACACGGATTTTTTGACTGGGATCACGAATAGATCGATGTTAGATCACCATTGAACACAGATTACTATAATGTAACTCATACCTCAAGTTCGAATTTATATGATCGGTTTTGGGTCATATCCTCTTATGTGAAGACGAGTGATACTGCCCAGATACCAAAATCAAGATAGATGGAGAAAGATTCAAACATACGACCCACTGCTTGGAAGTTGAGTGCTTTAACTATTAAGGTACCAATCAATATAGGTGCAGTTCGGTTAATAAATAAATAATGTGTGAATATCACACAAGTAGAAAATAATGCATAATAGTGTGCCATAAATAAGTTACCGCCAAATATTAAAGTGAATAGATAAGATATTCATAACTAGTATTCACTAACCAACTGCTTTACAGTAGACAGTGGGGAGCACCAAATGGATTGAAAAGAATAAATATCATATATTATTAGTATAGAGGATTAGTAGAGGTTATAGAATTTTCATTTTAAATCACAAACTGATCTTGGCTAAACCACCATGGAAATATCATATATATCAGGGAAATAATTACTCAACAGGTTTTGGAAAAAAATCAAATGAACTGTTAAGAACGTCGAGTGAGAAAATACTATTACAAAGTTTTATGAGTATTTTGATCGCTTCATCTTATATTTATTATTTGTAACACTTCAGCGTTCAATAAATTTTGAGCACGAAATATTCAAACAACTATTTTTTTGTGAAAATTCTTTTTGAATAAAATTTACGTTCGGCACATTGTTATTATATTAAAATTTTCCACTGACTAACAAGCTTATGGATGCCGACGCTATTATTGTACATCTTTTTTTAAATATGAAAAGATAAAGATGACAGAATTAAAAAGGCGATTGAATATCACTATTAACCAGAAGTTTTATTTACTCGCATAAAAAATATTAATTTTAAAAATCTATAGCTATTTGGAAGTTATCTTTACTTGATAAACGACTTCAGTTACAGTTACTCTTAAAGTAGATTGTGAGGATATTTATTTATTTCAACACATAAATATTGGAACAAGAGGGCACCAAATATATATGCGCCACACCATGTGTGGGTGGGCTATGACACTGCCCGGGTGCCCAGACCGAAGCAGGTGGTTATCTTAGGGGGCCACACCCCGAGCCTTTGACTTAAAGGTCTGATCCATAAGGCAGTGGAGCATCGTAAGGAGATGCAATCCCATGGAAGCCGGTGACTAACGATTGGTTCATACGCCAGTTGTTCCCGCAGGATACTGGAGCCCATGTGTACCATTGGTTTGGAGTGCGGTTAAAGCGCCGGACATTCGCTTTCCGTCCTCTCATTTTCGTAAACAACACCCTCGCCACGAGAAGGCAGTGAGTAGGACTTGCCTGGCAGAGGCTGTATACGCGTGGCCGTGCGAGAACATTTCGAGAGGAATGGCCCACCCCACTCTCGGCCATACCAGAGCATTTGGGGGCTAACTATTTAGTTATCGTTATTAGCTCCTACTGAGAAAAAAAATACGACAAGATAGTTCTTGGAATTTCTGCATAAATTCCTCACTGATAATTACGTCACAAGTAATCCCTGGAAGATCAATGGTGAATTCAGTCAAACTACATTTACAGCTACTAATATTTCCAAATGTAAATATCTTTCCCCTAGTATTTTATGAAGTTTTACATCACAGATTGAGTCCAATCAGACAAACATAGGACACAAGGAAGTAAAGAACAGATATTTCGTCCCAATATGAGTTCTTATCAATGTGGATTCACGATCTCTTGGAAAATTGAATACATGACCATCAGGTTTTGCCGAGTCCTTAACCTACAGACAACTAAGTTGACATACCATTGGTTCACTCTCCTAGCTTCTGTCAATTCATAATACTGTGCAACTAACATTCACTGCATATGTACTTCATTGCCTATGCATAGTCAGTAGGCACTGGTTTACTATGAGGAAAGTTAGTACGGTTTTTTGGCAATTTGTAAGTACGAAGCTACGTAAGATCTAAGTTTAGACCGTATAATTTTAATTTAGAATCAGATAACCAGAAAGATGTGATGCTTAATAGGGATTTAAGTAAATCTTTTACAGGTATGATTGTAGAATTATACTGGAAACAATTTTGGATGATAAATAAGGTTAATTTATATTGTTACAGAAATATTTAGAAAACGCGAATGAACAAGAACCGCTTGTCTATACAGACAGAAATTTGTGCAGTATTATCACTTAGAATAATTCGTTACGAAAAATATTTTTATTAGATGGTAAGAAGTTGGTCAAGTCAAAAGCAAACATATATCTCACTAACCATAAATATATATAATGAAAAATGCTGGTTGCCTACGCAATTTTGAGGAAAACATTACATATCGAAAAATATGCCTTCCAACTGTTATTTTTTTAGCAAAATAATAAAAAAGAATGTTTATCCAAAACATTTCTCACATTGTAAAGAACAAAACAAAAACAGGATATATACATTTTTATCTACAGTGATCATGTTTTCGTTGCACCAAAATATAAAGTTCTGAAATTTTTCTCTGTATAATGGTTACACCATTATAAAACCTGGCGATATCTCGTTCTTTTTTGGATAAAGAAACATTCTGCATATTATTTTCTTATCCGTAGATTCAAAGAGTGGATGTGTAAACTTTACCAGAAACTTCAGCTGCGTTCCAACATCCTTTATATATATAATTAGACTAGACCTAATAAATACGTCGTTATGCTTGGATATGGGAATTGATTAGAGCTTAGGAGATAAGCATATTATGTGATCATCAATCTAGTATAGTGAAGTTTGAACTCAAGTATGGATAAATCTGATGCAAATGTTCTGTACGAAACTATCACTCACATATAAATCTTGACGACTTTTAGTGAATTGTTACCGAACGACGCATTCGCATTAGGGCATGGTAAACAAATGTTAGTGTTAAATTGAAATTCACTAAACTGAACTCATCGCAATGTACGGAAGGGATGTGACAGTTACTCAAGGATAAATGGTAATTATTAATAGCATCACTTCAGTTTTCTTAACTGCATGACTGGTCGTTACAGTCATGGGATTGACTTCGTGAATATCTAGTAATAATTGACTATAATAGCAATAATAACAAACAGCTCTCGAAACGGTAGCTGATCACATTCCCTTAAAACGTACATTATAAACTTGAACGACCCTTTAGAAATTAGCATGCAAGGATTATTGGAGTTACATAATAAACTTGGTGAACTATTTCCCCATATAATAAACCAAATTTCGGGTTTGATGGATTCAATAGGAATCAGAAAAATCTAGGAAGTGAAATTAATAAATACGAGATTTGTCAAACTTCAAATATTATGCTAACGTCAATTTTTAACTAGCCTATATATGAAAATCATAATAAAATATGTACTCACAAAAGCAATGTATGTGAAAGAAAGAATGTTTAGTAGTGACGAAAATGGCGCTTTTGATAAAAATGAAAGCAGAATTGAATTTAAAAAACCGGATAATAAAAACTGTCTAACTACAGCTATATATACACGTACACAGACACGTAAACACACCGTGGGCGCTAGGACAAGAAGATAACGAGGCAAGGAAATGTGGTGCATAGACTACACTACAATCATAACCAGCAAATTATCAACCAAACAGAACGTCTTGAAGCAAGAAATGAATTAAGAAAAAATAACAAATGATACGAAAGACATCGAGATGCTACACCTGAAGGAAACAAACACAAGAAAAAGGATGACAAAAGAAATGATGCACAGGCGCTTGAGAATATAATAACGAAACAAGTAAGAAATAACTCTATATCTTTCAATGTGACTGTTGATAATAGAAATAGAGGGGGTGAGGGTGAATAGAGTTTGCAAAATATACATGATTACAGAATCTGGATTTGTGATGTAGTCTTTTTTATGATGAAAGAAGATAAAGCGAACGGCACAAATGAATTTTTCAACAACTAACGATGATGTTACATTCCAGAGAATAAGTAAGTTAATGTCTCGCAAAAAGTTAACAAGAATCAATCAGCCGGGGGAATGATTTTTCACAATTTGGAAAGCTTGCACAGTAGGAAAAGCAGACCATATAAAGTAAGAAAGGCAAATTAAAGGAAGACAGTGAACGCAGAAAAAGCATAAACTCAGTGGTTTCAATGGCTTCAGAAATTAACAGTTCAAGAAACTATTATTTGCTGCTCCTAGAATATTCCAAAAGATAATCACTTAAAAATTTACTTATTGGAACCTATTCGTTGAGAAAGACGCAGGTAGATGTTCGTAAGTAATATGATCTGCTAAATATTATATATATATATGGATGTTTAGACGGACAGTCTAGATTCCGGTGCAGAAGATTCAGATTCTGCGACCATAGCAGCTGCAGCAGCTAAAATCACTGCAGCACCAGTCACAGCATCGACGTTAGCTCCTGGTTCACAAAGACGTTTATCATCAACGGGATCTGGTTTTTTTTCAGACTCGCTACTTGTATTGGAAGAATTAAATATCACATTGCGATAAGCTCTTTTTGCCGCGTACCGAGGATGTTGGTAGGGATTACCATAGTTATGGTACTGGGGTGATTTCCAACTTTGTAACTCACTAGACATTTCATGTGTTGAATCCTGTGGTAATCGATTGCTATCCACTTTACTTTCTACTAAAAGTGAGTGCGATTCAGTGCAATGAAGTTGTAAATGTTCACCCGAATGAGGACTAATTGTATCTGGATTAACCGGAGACGTATAGGAGATGGTAACAGGGTTATTTGTGCAGTCACCTTTTGTGTCATGCAATTGTGGTACACATGAATGTGATGGCGATTCATCAAAAGAAGAACGATTTACGTGATTGGTACCACAAGTCACATTTGAAGAGGGTTCGGAACACTTCAAGGAATAGGGGCCTAACCATGTAGCCTGATTTGAATACGGCGATAGTTTAGGTGCAGTGAACACAGAACGTCTGCGTTGACGAGTTGAGCGTGGACAATCATGAAGTTGTTGTACATCTCCGAATTCAGAAGCCATATGATGCACTTCAGTGGATCTTTCACATATATTACGATCAGATTCTGAAGAAAATCGGGCAGTTGAATCTAATCCAGAAGCATCTGCAGCATCTGAACCTGAGTAGTTAGCAGACACTGAGGTCACGGCAGCTAAGACAGCTGCGGCGCATGCAGCTGTGGAACTATTTAATCCTAAACCGCATAACTCCTTAAAGCAAAGCGCTTTAACTTTTTGAAGCTCTTCAATCAGCTGTTGATTTTGACTTTCTAAAAGACTAACTCGAGCTTCTAGACACTTTACATATTCTTTCTTTTTTCTACGACATTCCCTTGCAGCTTCTCTAAAATAAAAAAAGAGAAAACACCGTTGACATTTATAATAAACAGGCTTAGTAATACAGCTCAGAAAATAATTAAAACCAAACTCTTTTGACTGTTTCCTAATGTATAGATAATTGAGAAGTCTATCAAACACAGTGGGATTAAATTATCAATACATCGATAATCACATTACATTAATGAGGACAATGATTGAGTATATGATATTCCCCTATTTCAATTTAATCACTAGTCTATTTAGAAATAACCATTACGTCATCACCGTTGCCATCGTAAATCAAATAGTCATCGTCATAATATCAACTACAACTATTATGGTTAAGGCTTCTGATCTTACATCGGTGACATCACTGTCTCATAAATGATCATGAAACTGTATTCACAAATCATCTGAGATTGATTCTTAACAATGTTAGAACGTAGGTAAAAAAACACCCGACCAGAAACAAATTCCAAACAATAATATTGTAAGAAACCAATTAGGGAAATGGAATCGTAAGAGTTACAAATCTAAAGATTAAATTATTAATTCTGTCAGTCATAATTAGTTTGAGCTTAATCTATTGCTTGGTCGAATAGCCAAAAAACATATTATACATTCGTCTTACCATTAATTTAAACCATACTAGGTAAGCGAAGTCAATCAGCGCTACAGCAGTGGTAAAAAGAAGTAATTCATAAAATACACACTCAGTAGTAGAAATTTCCACTTTAAGGAACTGTAATAATAATACTCATGAGTCGTACTTTGAGATCATATAACATCGCCAAAGTACATCAACATTTTGAGGCGGAAATCTTAATATGAGCCAGTAACACTTCTGCAAAGAGGGAAACTCATGAATGTTGTATTATAAGTCAATATGATTTATGACAACTAATTAATGGCCATATGATATTAAAAATTTAACTTGTTTAAATCGGATTGAAAATGAAATAACATTACTAACATACTGTAAAAATGAATACATAAATACCTGTTTTTTAAGAGACGTTGTTCGCGTTTACGGTTTGGTTCATCAGTTTTAAAATCACACTCTGTCCCACAGTTAGTTCTTAATGACCTGCAGGAAACCGATGATCTGGAATTAGCTCCACTCAAATCATCCATTGGTGGATTCTTAACTCTACATTCAACATTTAATGGAGAAATATTCAACTGGGGAGTTGCTGAATTAGATAATGAGGAACAACTTAGTGGTGAAGTTGGAGGACATGTGGCCAATGCAAGTTCACTTGAAACTGATGTATGTGTAGGAGAAAAATATCTTGTATTACATTTATTAGAATTTCTATCAAATGATGGGTGAACACCTAATGGATGTACCAGATGCGAATCATACTTTGGTGATGTTTTGTAAAAAGGTTGGAAATTAGGATCATCATAACCTCTATGTGGTACACTGGAAGAGTTTCGGGAGTTATCTACATTTTCATCAGGATCTAAAGTAGATAAATAATGCCGTGTAATTTTAGCCGGACCTTCTGAATTAATATCCATCAAATAAGATTCATCTGAACGATTACGTTGTTCGATACAATTATCGTTCAGAAAAGAAGTTGAAATAGATGTTGACTCACGGGTTAAAGAAAAACCTTCAGGGTAATCCGGAAGAGTTGATTGCTAAAACAAGGAAAGACCAGTGTAAAATTAGGGCTGGAATTAATGAAAGCTTTGAGATAGGGAATACTAAAATAACATAATTTAATGTAGAAACTCGGGGAACCATAAAACTCAATTTATTGGGTCTTAGTATTATGGTAAATAGCTAAAAATAGTGGGAAAGTATAAGAGGCTACCATGTTAAATGATGTTATGATTTATAGGTGGAAAGATTGGCAAAAATTGTAGGTAAGCGGATGGAATTCATAATATCGAGTGATTTCTCTCACACATCGCATACTTGTAGTTGAAATGTGGACACAGAATCGGTACGACAGTACATTTACAGTCAAAGGGAATTTGTTAAAGAAAACTTAAATGTTAAGTATTTCTTTAATTTAACTCTTCATCCATATTGGTACTTATTCTTAATACTTAATGTTAACAAGTATAGCGCACCCAAATGAGAAGCGGTGTTTGAACACGCATAAAGAATATGCCGACAACCCCATTAATCATTAATTCCCTTTACACAGTAATCCAAGTCTAACATTTTCATCGCTCACTCAGTAGTTTCAACATATGCAAACAATTATCAAAAAGAATACGTGGCAATAGCCTACGCTTATTTTTTAGACCTTCAAATACCAAGTTCTACAGACAGAAAATAATACACAGTAGAACTTGGTGCAGCATACAGATAGCACACTTCAACTACATCTGATGCAAGCTGAGAGTGCTGCATTTGTCAGACATCAACTCACAAACACATTAAATTTCTGATAAATGCAATGAAGCTGGATTTTATGAAAAATTTTAAAGCCACACATTTTCCTTGAGGGTTGGTGAAATAGTAGTAGACGAAGTAAACAATCAGCAATTAAAGGTTCCGAATATAAACCCACTGACTCATTAGGCTGGATGACATCTCACTGTGCAATATACTACTCGATACCGATTAGTTTTAATTTGAAACCGTAAAGGTACCCGGAACACTAAGTTGCATGTAAGTAGAAAAAGGCAATCTATAGGCTACTTTAAGTCCACCTTGACGGTAAGCATAACGAGTGACGTTAGTGTGAGATTGCTTTGGCATCTACTAAACGAGTCTAAATAGTCCGACGGTATACGGCCCCAAATGCCCTGGTATGGCCGAGAGTGGGGAGAGTCAGTCCCCCCTCTCAAAATGTTCTCAAGTGGCCACGTGTATACAACCACTTCTAGGGAAGTCCTACTCAATGTCTTCTCGTGGCGGGAGTGTTGTTTACAAAATTGAAAGGACGAAAAGCAAATGTCCGGCACCTTAACCGGGTTGATAGACACGGAGAGTCCTCCTAGGAGAGTTGAAAAACCCTGATTACAAACTAATGGTGTACATGGGCTCCAGGATCCTAAGGAAACAAATAGCGTATGAACCAATTGTTGGTCAACATTTATCATGGGACTGCATCCCCCTACGTTGCTTCACTGCCTTGTGGATTAGACGTTTAGTTCTAAGGCTCGAAGTGTGGCCCCCTAACAAAACCACCTGCTTCAGTTTGGTCACCCGGGCAGTATCCCAGACCTCACACAAATCGAATGATTTATGTGGTACATATCTATTCGGTGCCTTCTTGTATCAATGTTTATGTGTTTAAACAAATAAAAATTATGCCTACAACAGTGTACACAGTTAGCATATAACAATAAAATAGTGGGAGATGCTATAGGGCCTTAAAAATTAACCACGAAAAGAAGGGCATAAACTCGTTAAGGAAGAGACTACATTTATTTATTTAGATATTCTTCCAGCGTTTTAGGCCTACAAGTTCTTTCCTGTGTTGAAACTTGACATAACTGCGCCAATTCGTGTAGTTAAAATTGGACAAGTTTGGTAGATAGATAGTATCGATTTCTTGACGAAGTCGTTTAAAGCTTTGATAACAGTTAACTAATCCTCATAGTCTAGTCATCTTAGAGACAATGAGGACTGAATACTAGTAAATTAATATGGAATGACTTTTTGTAGACCATAAAAATCGAGTCAGTCAATACAGGGAAGAAAAAACAATGGAGAAATTTGAACCTGGTGAAAAAACACTTCATCTTCATTACCTTTAATATCGACTAGGACAAAACAAAATATGAGCAGAGAACGTGCCTATAATGTACATTACATTACTTAATGCCTTTACTTAAGGTTATCTACATCATATATATTTTACTGTTTTGACTTCAATCAGCTAGACAAATACAGAATCGGCACTTAAGTAATGGTGATAGCTGGGTAATAGAAGAAGAAAGATTCAACAGTTAAAAATATGTAAGGGTAAAGTAACTGACTAGCTGTATATATATACGTGAATAGAACTAATAGAGATCAAGAAAATTGTGTTTTCACAAGATGAAAAACCAATAGAGAGAAATCAAGGAATATTTTTCGTGTAAGAACCATGGTCAATTATTTTTAGGTATAAGAGTAAGTTGATAAAGGAGCTCTCCTAGATGCAATTCGATATCACAAAATGTCACGTCTTGGAGTTTAGTAAAACAGATAACGAGCCCCGTCTTTACTTGCTACTAAAAATGACAACACAAGAAGGAGTTTCAACCAAACGCATTCAAAGTTCTAAGTAGTCTATATTACATAACAAGTAAGCAATTAGGCTGTAGTCAAGTAACTAGTCAGTCATTCTCCATACTGTAAACTAACCTGACTATTGAGGAGCTGAGAATTTCCCAGATCAAGAGTAGACGTTACGTTTGAAGGCAAAAAAGACAATAACTGTGGTTCCTCACTGGGAGCACTTTTTAATTCATGCCTAGGTGCAACATCCATACACACTGGATTAAGTGCATTAGTGAAACATGGAGGAGCAAGTGTTGAAGAACGTCTTCTAAACACAGATGCTAGTGTAGAATGTGCAGTTAGTAATTTTGGATGTTGTTCAGAAAGGGAGATAAGATCATTCATAGCAGAATGACCAAGTAATGAACGTTGGCATTCACGAAGTTCGGAACTAGAAGAATTGCTAATTGTTGTACACGTGGATGAAGCAGCTAAAGCCAATGATAACACCGCCGCCTGAAAATTAGATGTGCTAGAACTAGCTGATGGAGATCGAGGACTGGCAATAGCTTGAGCAGCAGCTAAGGCAGCTTGTTGTGCAGCTACTGAAATCATAGATGAAGATAAAGGAGATGGTTGTGGTGATTCTAGAAGGCTTGAAGTTGAACAACGTCTTCCGGAAAAAGTTACATTATTAGATGGTGATTCATTTACAGCTGCAGCTTGTATTAAAAGAGCTGCTGCTGCTGCTGCAGACATTGCAGATGGGTTATTTGTTCCGTAAGGTGACACTCCAGCGGCCATTCCTAATGCATCCAGGTTACTTCGATTATTATTATTATTATTATTATTATTATTGTATGAAACTTGATGAACCGTTTCTACTTGGACTTGATCATTAAGCAGATCATCAGGTACAAGATCCAGTTGATCAGGATTAAGAGACATGCACGCTGTCACACGAAACTGAATAGGATTATGAGAAGAGAGAACATGAAAAATGAAATTGCTTATAAAATGCGTTTTACAGTAAAAAATAAAGTATGAACATAGATACTTTTAAGACTATTTATAGATGTTAATGGGATCAGTACAAAATTCATTATTAATCTGAACTACTGAGGGAATATGGTCAGATAAAGTTTAGTTGGTGTGATAAAAATGCCTGGAACTAGAAGGTATACAATAAGTTGTATAAGGTAGAAGAAAAGTGTGAGCATAAAAATCTTTAAAACAAGTGCGGTGTTCAGAGATCTACAATCAGTAATTTACCACCAAATAAAACAGTATTGAAAATATATTACAGTGTTTCAAACAAATATCGACAAACTAATAAACAGCGACAAGATAACAAAATATTATGAGTTGTGACGTGTAAATCAGGACGAATTAGAAACAATGGTATTCAGAAATGGGTTATCTAACTTTCCACAAAAGTATCTGCGTAGGATGAACATATTCAAAAACCTTCTTGTAGTTTAACTTAACCAAAAGGCAAAAGATAACTCATACATAAGCTACATGGCACTGAATAAATGAACACACCAGAAGTTCAAAAATAAAGAGAAACTTCTCGTGACTTCTACGCTCAGTGGTATAAGAAGAGTATAGATTAGCACCATACTAAATGAACGGTAAAGCAAATGTTGTGCATTTTATTTACTACAAACGTCTACACATTATCGAGTATTCATATCGTCCAGATTTAGAAATAAGTGACTAAAACGGACTAGCTATGGGTAATAAATGTAATTTCACTATTAACTAATGAGATATTATAGGTAGGAAATATCATAGAAAGATGTATGGGTTTGAAAAAATTGAAAGTAAGCGAGAGAGTGTATGATAGAAGTATTTTACACATATCAGAATTCGGTGAAGGTATTGGTCAGGGTTTTACTGTAAGTCGTTTGACGGTTATTTTCATCACTTTAAGTAACTTACTGTGTATGTAGGTAAAAACGATTGTGATTAAAGTTTAGGATATTTTTGATTACTTTAAAACCGAATGAACTCCTGATCAATCACAAACTGGTTGCCAGTGGTTGAAACTCAAGTTTCGCAAAGTAGTACAAAATACTGAACACGAGCGATATAGAAACCAGACCACTTTTAACATATTTCCAATATGAATTGAAAGTAGGGATGCAGGAAATACGTGACAATTAGAAATGGATCACTTAGAACGTTTTGGTGTTGGATACAGGTGCTAGAGGGATACTGGTTTCATTTACACGAACATGTAAGGGTTATTAAATAATATATCATATAAATCAATGATTCTGGATGGGATTTCATAAAAATCAACAATTAATAATTCATTTAACTCACCTTCTATGGGATTCTGTAAGCATTAACGAACAAAATAACGCCCAGGATAATCGGATAGGGAAAACCAAGACGAATCATCTAATCCGAGATATGGCTGGTAGGCGTATTCACAATAGCAAAAACCTGAAATATACGAGTGAAATACAGCAAATACTACCATTGTGGTGTAAACATTATATCAGTAAACGATAGTGCAGAACAACAGAGATTAGTGTATGGCGACATCGTGGAGGATAAAATAGAGGTGCAAGCACCTTTAGGCAGATAAAAACATCGTGTATGTGGGGGTGATATGGTGCGGTACTTCTGGTTAACTAATATTTCTAACTCAAGTACTGAGTTTATGAGTATTCTCCGCATACACAAATCACACTCTAGAGGGCATAGTGAGCAAACGATAAGTTTCTCAAACCTCAGTTAAAACTGATAGCAATGATGTCAGGGCCTCAAAATATGACATGATCCTTCCCCACTAGACTTTTTTCTTAAAGGCATTTAGTTGTAATTATTTGTGCTTTATGGAATGGTATTCCCAACTAGCTGTAACCTTGTTTAGAATTACACAACAATAAGTTTTAATTACTAAAATAATAGAACTTCATACAGAAATCTATGCCGTCTCTAAAATCTCTGCCCAGAAAAAGTGGTTATTCACTTGATCATATCAAACTAGTGCGAAAAACTAGCACGATTAGTTTTTTAATTAACTGGAAAACCCGATAACTTTCCATAGTTTAGTAAGTGCATATGTAGCGTAAATTTAGGAACCAGGAGAGATTGCATTACGCTTAGAGGTCACCTGTTTGTTATCTGATTGGATGAAGATGTACAAACTGGGAAATATGTAGGTACATGATGCCTTCTGTTTTCAATTTGTCTAAGCACTCACCGTTTGTAGCTTAGGTAGAGCATAAGATATATCTCGTCGAAAATAGTGTAACATCTTTTGGATGTCGAGAAGTTCAGAAGCAAGAATTGTAGCAAATTAAAAAGAGAAACCTAGGCAGAACTTTTGATATTCAAGTCTGGTGACGGTAACTTTGTTCTGACAACTACTTCCTTCCAAAAAATACCAACTCCAAACAATCGGATACATTTGTAAATGGCAATTGACAGTCAACATATAGTGGACGCAAAAAGATCATATAGGTAAATCGCTGCCGAAGATTAACCAAGGAATATTGTCGATCTTTCGAATCAAATGTCTAGTGTGTTACCTGTATTACTTGACACCAAAAAGTTGCACCAGGAACACTTCCGGTTAAACTTAAGGATGTTAAGGTTTAACTTAAAGAACTACCTAGGGATAGCTAGATATAGTTTTTAGTCTGTTGCTATGTCAGAGGTTACGTTTACTGGAGACTTAAAAGAAAGGCTTGGACTTTCGCAACCTTGGTAGAATTAATGGCAGCAGGGTCCACAAAAATATAAGAATCAAGAACTTTATAAAAATTCGACGCAACAAACGTTAGTGAAGGGTAATAAAAACAAGAGGTGGGCGACAGGCAACATTAAAAAGTTGTTTAGAATTATCAAGGAAATTTGGATTAAAGGATTGGTAGTTGGTCAATCATCAACTCAGAGCTTGCACAGAAGTATACCGGCTTAAGTTATCATAGTTCAGGACCTAGAACTAACCTCCTACTTGAAGACTCTCATACAGAGGTCGAAGACATGAGTAGTTTGATAATGCTTGAGTGTAAATGTCCACATAGCGCTAACCGCTTAAAGTGGAATAACTGAGTGAAAAATTCTGGGATAACGGACGGAGTACTAGATAAACGTGCGAAATCGAATGGTGAGGTTGTGAATCCATAGCGTCTAAGGTAATTGTAATAAATGATGTAATGCCTGAAAATCGCGCAGGAAATACTAGCTAGCAAAGTCATCTGAAGAGACTAGTGGTGATGTAACCTAAATATGACATGTTCATGAAGAAGTTACAGAATGACAATACTTTTTGTATTGATTAAGTACCAAATTTCAGGTCATTTACATTTATTCAACTGCAGGCTCAGATAAGCTTGGAGCCAATCAGTCATACTCAGCAAAGAGCTTGGGACAGATGTCTATTGGCCTAAGTTGCCATAACACAAAAGGACGAAGAGATTAAATTAACAAAACGAATGGCAAAAGAGTCGACATAATTATAATAGGAATGATACTGATAAACATTGATGATTGAGAATATGGTTCGAGAAGACCGAGTTAAAAAATATCAGTGAAGGAACATTTGAGTTTAAAATCTACAGGAATAAAAAAATTGAATACGTTTGGGACACTAACCCATTTTGAGTCATGTCATTCAACATCTCGAACTACTGACTGTGGTTATTGCACAGGCCTTAACCACGCGAGTTAGCAGAAGCCAGGTGGGCTTTTTGAATCTGTGGGGAGATTTTTTTCAAAAGCCGAAATACGGTTGATAATGCTTTCAAGATAGCTGAAATGATCAACATACTAAACCACTGACTAATTAATGACCCAGACCGATCCTGAAGCAAGCTTGCAGATATTCAGTTCAGTATATCTAAGATAAGTGCTAAGTTTTCTACACGTACGATTGATGTTGCGGTTAGCCCATATTGGTGGATGGGTGTTGTATGTACGGTGTGTAAATATGATATAATCCAAACCAACAGAAAATAGGCTGCCGGGAATAGTGCACCATGTATTTAATAACTAACGAAATATAAACACAAACCAAATGTTCCTCCTATTAGATCAGAGAAAATCGTAAGGAATAAAATAAAAACTAACGCAATAATTGCTGACTTTTATTCAGTCAGTAACAACGTAGAACTTCGTACGTACGTACATCAGTTCGAGTTGCCACACCACATTAGCATAGAGATGCAGTGGTCGATTCAAATCCCGTAGTGGTAGAGGTAATAAGAGTATAAGCAGTAATCGGGAAGATTAGTTTTGGAGATGTTACTTAAAGAGTATAATACAGTGAAATAAATTTGAGAGGAGAAAAAAAGAGACAATGAGGAATAAGGAGATCAAAATTATGGAGAACACAAAGAGTGGATGCACCTGCGCCATTGCAAACGATTTTGAGCCATGTCATTCAGGGTCTCTAACCATCGGTTGCTATCATCTCGCGGTCCCCAACCAGGTAGTCTACACCTACCGACATGACCCAGACCACTTGTCAGTGACTTCATGGACTTGTGCCATGTTTCGGTCTGGCCGCCCCTAGCTTTCTTCCAACCTACTCCACTTATATACCACTGAACATCGCACGTCGAGGAAATCGGTCGTTGGGCATACGTAACACGTGTCCCAGCTATCTCAACTGATGAAGCTTCACTACGTCATCAATTGATTTGCCATCCTTACCTAGTACTCGTTTCCTAACAAATGCATTACATACTCGATGGTCCCACGATATACGAGCAATATTTTGAAGACACCTATTCAAGAACACAGACGAGCCTTCTGATCACTTTTAACAGCTTATCAATTTATGAGTAAGATCGGACTCTACAAGAAATAATTCAGATTTCGAAGGTGTAAAGTGTATAAAGAACTTACTTGGGGAGGGGGATCGCTAATTAAGTGCCATTAGGGGTGGCTAATCTATTAGCCCACAGTAAGATTGTCATCCGCTTATTTAAAGTTGAAAAACTAGGTAATAAATCTACACCAATAAGCACTTGCTTTACAGTTGTTTATATAATTTCATTGATGATAAAACTAAAGGGGAGTGGAGAATTAACCGAAGCCTACTGATAGTTGAGAGCGGGATTAGTTATTAAAGCACTCAACTCTAAACCATAAATTTGCAAGTCCGAACATTGGAACGTCGACTTGGGTTCAGCAGTCAAAAAGTGTTGCTAGCCTTCAAACTATCAGGATGATTTTGAGCACACAAACATGTACTTGGTGAACGCTACATTGATAACCAATGACTATTAATCTTGAGGTACTTTATTTAAACACAAACATTGATACAAGAAGGCACCGAATAGATATGTACCACATAAATCATTCGATTTGTGTGAGGTCTGGGATACTGCCCGGGTGACCAAACTGAAGCAGGTGGTTTTGTTAGGGGGCCACACTTCGAGCCTTAGAACTAAACGTCTAATCCACAAGGCAGTGAAGCAACGTAGGGGGATGCAGTCCCATGATAAGTGTTGACCAACAATTGGTTCATACGCTATTTGTTTCCTTAGGATCCTGGAGCCCATGTACACCATTAGTTTGTAATCAGGGTTTTTCAACTCTCCTAGGAGGACTCTCCGTGTCTATCAACCCGGTTAAGGTGCCGGACATTTGCTTTTCGTCCTTTCAATTTTGTAAACAACACTCCCGCCACGAGAAGACATTGAGTAGGACTTCCCTAGAAGTGGTTGTATACACGTGGCCACTTGAGAACATTTTGAGAGGGGGGACTGACTCTCCCCACTCTCGGCCATACCAGGGCATTTGGGGGTAACGGGAGATTTGATATTCTTATTCTATGAAGTTTTCGTGTAGGCATGTCGAAAGATACTGAAGGACTTCTTAGGAACGCTTTTTCAAAAGACGATCCCAGAGTATAGTCATATCCAACGAGGTGAAATGAGTGTAAGTGTTCAAGGTTTTGCTAATGAATGTGTTATTACACTCATAACTTGGACGAAGAACGATTTTCTTGTTAGGATCCAGTCATTTTGGATTCTTGACATTATGGATAGTACTATGAAATCCAGTATTCTAAACGCAATTAACGGGAAAATTGAACTCTAGTGGTTGTCACAAACGTCAATACGGTTCTCCTTAAAGACAGCGCATCAATCGTTTTGTCAAAATTATAGAACACTAACCTCTATATCTTTCTAAGTGACTTGTGTGGTGTATATGTATTCGGTGTTATTTTGTACCAATATTTGCGTTTGAATAAATAAAATAAAATACCTAAGCAACTCAGTCGAATTTCAACTATAATGTTGCATGAACTGATTAAAAGATCAAGAAACTAGTCTGGTGACTCGTAACACTTTTAAAAACTGGGTATTTTTCAGGATATCTGCTAGCTGAGGATTGTACAACGATTTAATCTCAGTTCGTGGCAAGTGTTCAGTTATACTGTCTAAATATTTTACTAAGAGCTCTAGACGATTATAACAGTTGCCTAAATGAGGACTTGAACTAGGTTGTAAATGATAACTATCGGGTTGTGCCAATCAACCGCTTATCATTGTATATGAATTTAACGTTATCGTGGCATAATTACGTTTCAGTGGCTAATTGTGAAAGCGAATACGTCGAGTATTTTAACCAATTTAACCTAGCTGAATATGATTAGCTTTCAATATCAGGCATAATGTAGATATAGAAGACGGAATAGATCACTGGATATTATTCATCGTCGAGAATAATTTAATTCGTGAGCATTTTTCAGCAAATCATTTTTAATTTAATGTCTGCGTGCTTTTGCCCGGCAATGAGTAATATAACTTCAAGGATATTTTGATGCCTGTTAAGAAAGGGAAACCTTAGAAGACACTCCCACCAAGTCAATATAATTGATCATTTAGATAGAAAATATATGGAATACTAATTATTCTGAATTTTTCTGACGTTAGACTAAGGTTATACAAATTGATCAGATCTGTACACATTTAAATCTAGGCTTGATACTTTGAATATGCTAACAACATATTGTGCAATTATGTACAGATAATCAGTCTTAAGCAGCACAGAACTGACGCATTGGCATCGGCCCGAGTTAATATGTACAGAGAATACAAAAAAGGGCCGGGAATTCATGTTTGACAATACTTGGGTATTTTGGAATTAGTTAGCTATAATCAACATATAACTTGAGACAAATGGGCATCACCTTAAGTTATAGTACGTTCTACAGGGGTGAAATATCAGAGGAGTCGAAACTGTAGTGATACCAAGAGGAGCAAGAAAAAATTAACAAAACGAATGTAGTTTGAAAAATGACAAACGAGAATCTAATCAAAAATAGTGTTAAAAATTGGGGTCGAAGGCTGAGGAATGAATGCAGCTACGCCGCTGAGACTACAGTTCATCTTGATTAAAATCTATAGACTAGTTACGATTATCGTCTAGAGCACAACCTATTAGTTTACATTTCGTAACATCAATGGCACATGTATTTACGATATGTTCTCAGATGTTTGCTTAGGATAAAATACGAAACACATTACAAGGTAGGTAATTGTTTAGCAAGATTGTTATGAAAATAATAACACTCAGAAGAACTGAAGTGATTTTTTACTATAAATTAATGTCAAGAACCGTGTTAGTTAATATTATGAAGTTTTCGTCCTGAGGAATTTGTAAATATTTCAATACAACTCAATAGAGGAAGATTCATGTAAACACATCTATGATGGAAAACAGATGGAGAGTGAATCGAATTCTTAAGTCTTAAATGAAAATATATCAATATGTTTCTACAAGACCCTGAGTTTCGTGCACCTCCCAGAAATAGTGAGACCCGAATCCAAACACTTTATTCACAAAGGTTTTCCAGTAAAACTCCACTTTAGACAGAGTCGTACACTAATACGGTCTGTGACTTAGCATTCATGACGTATGGCTAGTAAACATGAACAACACTCACTATTAAAACCATTGCCAGTTTCTATCAGGCGTTAAGCTAGCTAGTGAGCTTTCGTATGACTTTCACTTCATATTACACCTCAAATTTAGAACAAAGATGTAACTTTTACAAAGTGATGTCGAGATTGAAAGTGGATACTGTATGAACATACAAGCTAAATTTAGCCTGTACACGATATAATTAGTTACCAAGTTAAATTATTTCGAACCACTACTTAAATGCGCTAATCGGACTATATGTAGATGATTAAGAACCGTTACAGTAAACAGGGTATGTAAAGTACATACCTGGTAAAATTAGCATTAATCACAACTCATTACAAGTAATTCAAAGCCAGTCCTTAGTCAACAACACGCCAGTTTTAAACAAAACAGAAAGCAAGGTTGTCTGACTCTGAAGGTCAAATCTACCTTTACTAATGGGAAACGATCTTACAATGTTACATTGTCATGCTAATCTGTTAGCATGATCGTTAAATATCTCTTCTGTAAATATATGTTAACATGTATATACGTCTGCAGAAAAAATCCCTAAGCCTGACAGTTTCACATTCGTTCTTACAAACTATCCCTCCGGTCCACCATTGATCATGTTTCGTTCACCATCAGTTTGGCACATGGTAATCCATCCACATCTGAGTGACAAGCACTCTTTTTATCGGTTTGTCTTAATGGCAGTACGAAGGTCATCAATCTGGACGTCGTTTCAGAAGTCACTCTCACCCAAATAAAAAGAACATCCTTAGGAAAAAAGCCAGGAGATTGCTACATTGTAACTACCATTATCATTTGGCTGAATTTTCTACTTCAGATTCCCGAATGCTTAGGAACTCTGCTTCAAGACATTGGTCTGAATGATATTTTGATTTCCGAAAAAGTGCACGCTTGTCTTACATGCACGACTAAAATAGTATACGAAGACTAACAAAGTGTGTTCAGCTTAGGTAGCATCAGATATATTGGCTATCATGTCGAGTTATCCTCGAGGCCAATATTTCACAGATACATAGAGAGTTTTAAAACAGTAGTTTAGAGTTGCATAGATCTACTCAGTGTTGAGATATGTAAGAGCTTTATAACGACTTATATTGATTCTTCTAGTCCACATTTTCCATGACTAAACGTAGAAATGGTTAACTTTAAGAACATTAGGCCTATCTAGTGGTCTGGAAACTGAATGTAAATGAAAATAATTGTAACCAAATAAAGGTACCATATATACGCTGCTGCACACAGCTCTGTTGATTATACACGAAAGTTATTTTAACGCGCTGGATGTTTGGACACCAGATATTAATCAAATACTACATCCCATGAACACGTGATTCACCCAGAGAATATAGACTGACAGTGATTATTAGAATAGAATCTGTGGAACATGACAGTCAACATGTTAAAGCTAGCTCACGATGAACACACATCCCGGTTACCTGACTGTTAACATTTCATGCTAATCCAGCTATACCTCATTTACTGTAGCGACCTACAGACTGGCTGAACTATTCATACCGCTATAAACCTCCTGTTTCTTGGTTTATTCGTGTTATGCTCATACCTCCTGCGTCTAAGTACCATGAGTAGCAATACACTGGCTATCGGTTTATCGGAATAGTGGCCGTTCACCCCGCACACCACTCGTCTACAACAGGCAGAGCCAATATCAGGCTCCTTCTTAAGAGTGCTACTCGACGTCACTACCTCTTACTACTTTCCTATATGTCATCAGCTGGTAGATAACAACTTATTATTTCCCACCGACACACACATACCGTGGCATGACTTTCTGAGAAAAGTTCCTGAATTCAACACAGCATGTACTGATATACCCTATATTTGACCTTTCCATCGATGTTACATCACACAACAGACACGAATTATCTCACGTTGATATTAATCTCCAGTAAGTATTTGAATATACGACACAAATCACCTCGTTAGACGAACTGACACCATGGTAGCTTATCTACGGGGGTCAAAATCTACTGACCGCTGACGACAAGAACTAATGAAGACCGAAACAATAACTGACAACAATGATGACAATAACTGAATAAACATA